GGCAGGAGACCCAGGAGGACCCCACTGCTGACACAGAGACATAAAAAAGCAAGACTACAGTTTGCCAAAATGTACTTGAGTAAGCCAAAAGCCTTCTGGGAAAACGTCTTGTGGACAGATGAGACCAAGATAGAGCTTTTCGGTAAAGCACATCATTCTACTGTTTACCGAAAACGGAATGAGGCCTACAAAGAACAAAACACAGTACCTACGGTAAAATATGGTGGAGGTTCAATGATGTTTTGGGGTTGTTTTGCTGCCTCTGGCACTGGGTGCCTTGACTGTGTGCAAGGCATCATGAAATCTGAGGATTACCAAAGGATTTTGGGTCGCACTGTAGGGCCCAGTGTCAGAAAGCTGGGTTTGCGTCCAAGATCCTGGGTCTTCCAGCAGGACAATGACCCCAAACATACGTCAAAAAGCACTCAGAAATGGATGGCAAAGAAGCGCTGGAGAGTTCTGAAGTGGCCAGCAATGAGCCCAGATCTAAATCCCATTGAACACCTGTGGAGAGATCTTAAAAAATTGCTGTTGGGAAAAGGTCCTTCCAATAAGAGAGACCTGGAGCTGTTTGCAAAGGAAAGTGGTCCAAAAATTCCGGGTGAGAGGTGTCAGAAGCTTATTGATGGTTATAGGAAGCGACTGATTTCAGTTATGTTTTCCAAAGGGTGTGCAACCAAATATTAAGTTAAGGGTGCCAATACTTTTGTCCAGCCCATTTTTGGGGTTTTGTGTGACATTATGTCATATTTGCTTTTCTGCCTCTGTTTTATATTTGTTCCAATTCCAATACATACAAAGGGAATAAACATGTGTATAGCAAAAATGTGTTAATGCAATACCTTTTTTTGTGTGAAATACTTGATTTTCAGGAAAAATATCAAGGGTGCCAACAATTTCGGCCATGACTGTATGCCACAAAGAATATGCTTACATCAGAGCAAAACTCTATTTTGGTCCACTTAAACTAATTATTACGAAGGCAAGGTCAGGACCAAATTTGTTAAAACTCACCTGTCAACTGAACCAAACAGGTCCTGCTGTACTTCTCTTTCAGGTCAGGTGTCTCTGACCCACGAGTCATACCATCATTCCAGTCTTCACTGAAAAAAATGTCGGGGGGCCTTCATGGTCTTCATCTAACTAATTTTAATTAGATTCCATTAGATTCAGTAGAAACTAATAATACATTCCAGAAAATCCTAATTTATTTTTACGCAAGAAAACACTATGTTACCAGAAAATTGTCACCTCGATAAAGGAGGCCTCCATGTCCCCCTGAACAGATGTTAAATAATATTCTTCTACAAGCAAAACTTATCAAGGTCTGGCCTTTCCTTACTTTGCTGCCTACAGTACCACGATTGGCCATATATCCAAGTGAAACACAGGACTCTTAAAAAAAAAGGTATGTTCATGAAAAAATACTAAATGTGATGGGGTTTTAGTTTCAAGCAAGTCTGGATAAAGCAGTCAGGTAGCTAGCATGGCAAAACATTAAAGCGAATCTTAACTTCCTTTGAAACTTAACCTTAAGCCCTCCACTTAAGGAACCAGGTCCATGGGTAGATAGATAAGGGGTATAATGATAACGATTTGATTGCTTACAGTATGGAAAGCGTCTCCTTTAAACTGTCTTTTGCTATTCAAATTGATCACCTTCATCCAGTGGCTACTTGAGATTGCCTACAGGCTTCTACATTGGGCTGCCCCTCCCAATTCTACATTATTTTAGTACAACAGGAACCCATATGACATACAAAACAATTTTTATTATATAAAAAACCCTTTCATTTAAGAGCACATATTGATAAGCATCTACCTAACCATTACATTCACATTTTTTATTATGCTGAGCAATAAAACTTCTGTACAGTTCTATAAAATAAGACATTGATATCTGACAACCAGAGTTTATTTACTGCCTCTTCTAGCAAGAGGTATTCTGAACAGACAAACTATAGTATGCATATATTTTATATGTAAGGAATCCAATACAGTTAAGACTTAGATATTTCCTCTGATAAGATTATGTATATACAAAGTAGTCAGTTTTGATTCATAACAGTCTACTATAACCTTTGCAAAAATGCCAGCATGGGGGAAAGTTTCTGTAACTGGAAAATAGAATGTGACTAACACATAGCATGTAGTTAAGCCTTGTTTTCCTTTTACAGGAATTTAACAGTGAAAATGCAGAGATAGAGCATATTTATTAAAGTGGTGCAAAATACAGTGACAATGTGACACTGTAGAAGCCTATATAGCCCATCAGATTTTAGCTGGCTGAAATCAGCTGAGTGAAGTATAATGGCTGGTCAGGTGATATGGGTGAAAGCAAGGTGCACATTACGCTATGCCTCGGCTAACCTCACACAAGAGTTTTTCATGTCTGCATTTTTCTACATTGAAAAAGCTCTGCTGCTGACAAAAAATAAAAACATAGAACTACATGCTATTTGTATGATTGTATGCAATATGAACTTCTAAACTGGGGGTACAATGATATACACCTTTTAAAGATATTTGCATCTCAGCTATTTAAATTACCTAATGACTAGCATTAAAAGCACCCATGTGATCCATGTGAGCAGTAATGCATGCCATTCATTGGTCTTCAAATATCTACAAAGATTAGCAATTTACCCCTTGGCAGTAGATTGTTCTGTGTACAAGTAGCAAAATCTCATATCACATTTGTGTCAGATCTGATATTACGAGAAAATCAACCTGTCAAATCCACAACTGCACTTGTAATTTCAGGTCAGATCCTGGATTATTTCCCTTTAACCATGAACACTCCGCAATTCTTGATAAACAGAGAACATCCCTTCTTTCAAAAGATATAAAAATATCCATGGAAGCTGCCATTTTCTTTTCTTTTGAAGGCTCTCGTGACCACCTACAAATTAAGATAAATGGTTGCTAGGAACGAACATTAGAAAAAATACTGTACAGAACTTATAAAAATGTATAAATATGTATATTGTAACATTTCCCTTTTAATAATCAATATCTTCTATGCAACTTTACATATTTTGCTGTTGAAGCATGATCAGGGAGTCAGCTGAAGCATGGGCAGGGATTTGCAGCTTCCTTAGAAGCCAACAGCAGTTCATGTTTTCCATGCTTTCAGTTAGGAGCGTATTCTCTAAATACGGTCTCTACAAACTGTACTATTTCACTCTTGATTCTTTTTTGAGCACTGGAAAAGCATACCTGCTAACAGTCCCTGAGGACTGGTGTAGAAATGTATTGCATGGTGTTTCTCACTTCCTAGTCCTCAAATACGATCAACTAGCTAGGTCCCAATGATTTTTGGGGCTCTGCTTAGATGTTTTAATCACTCTAATTTGACCACGACTTTAATTCCAGAATTATCTACTTCTCATAGGTATTGTTCATTTACAGAAATGCTTTATAAAAGCTGAAGCAAACAGAACTGCCTCTCCCCAGCAACCAGCAAAACAGAAGTGGTCACCTTTCCAGTTCATACTGTACTGGGTGCTAGAGACAACAAATACACTTAACTATAACAGAAACCCTGTGTTTTAGGGAGAGAATTGTTGAGGTTCGGATTTTAACAGATGACTCCACCTAGAGAAAAAAGATCATAATATAGGTGTCCTTTTCTCACTAGTGGATTCCCAAGTTATTAGTTTGTTCTAGATAATGTAGAATCCATCAGAGGAAAGGACATCAACTGTAGGCTTAGTGTTCTCTGCATCCTTTGACTGGGAATTCTGTAGCTCCCCAAAAGATAACAAAAGCCAACATGTGCTTCACGTGGCGAGCAACTACACATACAGACATATTACTCTTAGGTGGGGTTGGCCTTTAAGGATAAAACAGTGAATACCCTTCACTGTACCAGTCCATATCTGCAGTGTCTAACATTGTAATAATCTAAACAAAGGGAAACCATAAATATCTAAATATTCAAAATAATGTGCAGATATCTAAAAAATGGCATTCAAACTCTTAACACCAAATAAAAGTGCAGTCATACATGTTAATAATTGAAATATCCTTCTTGGCAGGTTTTCAGAAAGTGTACATCTACCCTTTGGATGAGTTCCCAATTTCCTTTGCCCATTTTGGATGAGTAAAACATCATCCACTTGATCATGGAATATTTAAATAAATACTGCAAAACACAGGTAAAGTTAAAATACCTCTCATTGTAAAAACAAAGGTTAAGGACATTTATTGAATATTTTAATGTCAAAGGTGAGCACTTATAACTAAAGGCATATTTTTCTCTTTTAGTTTTGGATAGAGTGGATCTAGATTAGAACACTTGTTAGGTTTTTATTGTAGTCTGTGCCCTCATTTGGGAGATTTACACTCTCTATTTGTCCTGTTAATAGTAATCCTCGAAAGTGAGAGTAAAATAAAATCCCAAATTTTGGTTTGTCCCCAGAACAGTAATAGCGGTGAAATCTCCCATTAGGGACACTAGTTCTGGTGACCGGGGGGGGGGCAATCAATTTGCAGGGACCTCCTCTCATGTCATGTGACAGGAAGTGAAGGGAAATCTTCCCAATGGGACACAGGTGGCAAAAAAAAAACTGACAAGGCTTAAATCTCTCCCTTACATTCTCCAAAACAAAAGCAAAAAGTATTACCTATAGTTCTACTTTAAGCAGCGTTCTCTGCTGTTGGAAAGATGGTGATATTCCATCTTAGCTTGATCAGCAGCTATACACTGCTAGGTAATAACTATGGTATGTAGCATTTTATTGGCATTAATTTACCTGTCACCTAGCGCCTGTCCATGACGTAACTTACCCATAATTCCAATCAACATACCACATTCATTTAAGGATTCAAATACTGTTCCCGTAAATTCAGAATAATTTGGCCAGAAGAATAAAAAATGATCCTTGTGAACAGTGAACTGCTTACAGAAATATGGCAGCTGGACATTCAGCAAAGCTTATGAAATATTAGCTTTAAGCAGTCATTCTCACTTTTCCAAAAATAAAAAGTTTTGTTCTTTACATCTCTTCTGATAAGTGCGGTGATGCAGTAGCACTGGCGGTCCCACTGGTTTCATTACAAGACCGAACGTGGTTTTCAGATGAACACCTGTCCTGTGAGTCTACAAGGCTACAGATGTTGTTTCCATGCTGCTCCTCTATCATTTCATTTTTCTTACATACAATATTGTCACAGTTTGCCACTGAACCATTAGAGAGATGAGATACTGGGTGCCCTTCACCACCATCCAGGAGATCAGCAGCTAGGTCTTCTATTCCCAATGCAGGGTCAAAGTGCTTTGGTGTTGTGAATGGGTCTTGAAGGGGGCTGCCTTGCTTAAGGAGTTTCTAGTAAAACAATTCAACAATAAATAAAACATTTGACATAATTATAATACTACTTCTTAAACTGATAATAATCGTAAAACCAAATAATTATGACATTTTCAATAACTCTCTCTGTATATATATATATATATATTGTAACTTAGACTTATTAAGAAAACATACTGCAGAACATGTGCAAAAAAAGTTCAACAGCTCAGATACTAATTTATTACTCGTAATTATATAGTGCCCACAATTTACACGGCAATTTACATATTGTAAAATCACACCAGTCCCTGCCCTGAATGATGTTACAACTTTTCCTTCTCCATATGCTATTTTTTCTATTCAGGCTTCAAGCCACAAGCTGAACAATCTTTGTAGTGTGAAGGTCTACAGAACCGGGTTTGTAACTATTATAAAAGAAGGATACAGGATGTCAATTAGTATTTTTGTTTCTCTGATAGTTTCACATTAAAATTCAGATTGAAATTTTTTTGTATTACAGGTACTTGTATAGCGCCGTCAATTTACGCAGCGCTTTACATATATATTGTACATTCACAGCAGTCCCTAACCCTAAAGGGGCGTACAATCTAAGGTAAATATCAGAATAATAGGAATGAGCATTAACTTAGATGATTAAGAGATAAATCAGGTTTGTTTAGTTGAATGCAAATTTCAGTCACTCTTGCTCATTGTATCCCCAAGCATGCACAGCAATGTCTGTGAATATCCCCACGCATGTGCAGTGTCCTCCCATTCCTGCTGCTCCCACCATTCGCATTTGCTTCAATCAATATGGTGGTGAGATCCCGTGCACGCGGCGTAGCGACCAATCTGTACTGTACTGTCTCTACCGTGCATATGTGGGATCTTGCTGCCATATTTTGTGGTCAGATATATGACACACATTAGCAGTAGTGCAGTAGACCAATCACTATTGTGCATGAGCAGGATCCTGCCATCATAATTATCACAAACTGGTGGTGGGGGTGTAGCATACCATCCCAAAGCTTTCTGTCACTACCACACGTGTGTGATCTCACCACCACTTTGATACCAAACATGCATTTTATGTTTGGAGCATGCAGAGTGGAAAAAGGGGGGCATGCACACATAGTAACAGAAGTGGTGATAGGACAAGAGAGATGGAGGTCAGCATAGAAATGAATAGTCAGCAGCACAGCAGAGTGAGAGGTGAAGACAGCAAGAGACGTGTACAAGGTGTAGAGGGAAAAAGGGACAGAAGTACAGAAAGGCAGTTAGTCATAGAGATAGAGGCGAGCAGCAGAATATAGAGAGCTAGGCAAAAGTATGAAGAGAGAGAGGGTGGCAGGAGTACAAAGAAAGAGAGGGAGGAAGCAGTACAGGTAGTGAGAGAGGATGGGAGCAATAAGGAAAGCAATAATAGAGACCGAGGAAGGCATATTGCTTACAGTCTGTTTAGTGCATGCTCAGAATCTCACCAGTAATAAGGTGATGGTCACCTGTGAAAGTGCTGTAGCTTATTCTGTAAACTGTAGAATTTCACTTTAAGCGTAACACCTTGCACAGCACGAATTCTCATAGGACCTCCATAGCGAACTGCTGGCAAATGCCTGCTTTATGCTGCTTGGCTTGCCCAGAACTAACTACATTTTACTCAACTGACCAGCACTGCTAATACTTGCCACCACTGCACCTGAATGCACTCTTACACTCGCCACCACTGCACCTGAATGCACTCTTACACTCGCCACCACTGCACCTGAATGCACTCTTACACTCGCCACCACTGCCCCTGACATGCAGTCTTACTCTCACTGCCAACGCACCCAACACGCTTTTACACTTGCACCACTGCATCCAGACACACTTGCACTCACCACTGTATACTTGCACTCAGTGTACTGATTGTATTCAGTATATTGCATGAACAGGCAAACTTTTGCTAGTATGAATTAAAAAAAGGAATTCTTACTTGCCTGTAAACTCCATATCTTGCAGTACAGTACATGATATAGGCTGGATATTCACAGACTCTCGGTTATAGGCTGCTACCTAGATGGTTGGACACTGACAAATCTTTTGGATACGCCCCCCTGGCGTACTCCTATAACTCTTAAGTACTCCATGAGACCTTCGTTTTTTAGTAAGCAATGGAGAGTAAACACAGGAACAGAGGAGAGAGTAGCCCGTGTCCTGTACTGTACTCCAAGATACAGAATTTACAGGTAAGACAAAAGTACTTAATCATATAAGTACAGGACACAGGCTGGATATTCACAGACCCTGGAATGTCCCCAAGAAATAAATGAAAGGGGTGGACAACAACAAGGTAAACAGAACTGTGCCAACAGGCCCAACAAAACATACAAAAGGTCAAAAGCCTAACTCACCTGGTAGAACTGAAGACTAGGTGGCAACCTTACAAAGATGTGCAATTACCCCTTGATTTTGGTATGCTCAGGAAACCCTGACTGCTCTGATGGCATGAGCATGCAAGGGTACTGGAGGTACCTCATCTTTAAGAGTGTAAGCTCTTACAATGAGTGAACTTAGAAGCAGGGTGTCCAGCTCGATACCCGTTGGCAAGACAAAGAAAGTCCATGTTTAGGATAGAGGCCATGGCTTTCAGATATACACTGATAGCCTTGACCACATTCAGACAATCAAGAGAAATTTCTTTGGGATGCTTAGGAACAGGGCACAAGGAATAAAGGAAGGACAATATTTTCATTGAGGTGGAAGGCTGATACCACCTTCGGTAAAAAGGAGGGTCTTGGAAGTAAAACCATTTTGTCCTTGTTAAAAATCAGGGAAGGCTACTTATAACGGAGCTGTTAACTCTGGAACTTGACTGACTAATGTGATAACCACCAAGAACACCACTTTGCAGGCAAAATAATCTAATGGGTTCAAAGGGTGGTTTCTGCAGTGCAGAGAGAACCAAACAAAGCAGAGGACGTTGTAATGGGGGTTTGATATGTGAAATACCTTTAATATAGGTTTTAACAAGTGAAAGTAAAGGCAAAGGTTTCTGGAATAGAATGGTCAAAGCCAAAACCTGTCCCTTAAGAATACTTGGAGCCAATGTTTGATCAATCAAGTCCTGATTGTAGGAAGGCCAAAATTCAATTTACCGTGTACAGTAATTTCTGGGGTTGAAATGGCTGTGTTCACACCAAGTGAAAAAACGATTTCTAGGTTCGGCAGATTTTTCTGGCTTTGAGTAATGTGGAAATGACAGAGTCGGATATACCCTTGTCCTTCAAGACCTTGGTTTCAACAGTCATGTAATTAAAGCCAATAACTGACAAGCAAACAGAGCAAGGGGCAGCAGGTCTGGCCTGTTTGGAAGAGGCCAGGGGTCCTCTCCCAGAAGCTCAAGCATGTCTGTGTACACAGATTTCTTTTCTTCCTCTATTTTAAGGAGCAGTTGGGGAAGAATCAGCACTGGAAAGCAGGCGTACAGTAACATGAACAGAGTCCATGGAATTACCTGAACATTCAATGCCAGTGCTCGATGATCCTTGGTCCTGGCCACAAACAGGGGTAATTTATTGTTGAACCTTTAGACCAGGATGTCCACATCAGGAGTCCCCTATTTCTCACATAGGAGACTGAAGATGTCGGGAAGAAAGCACCATTTCCCTTGGTCCAGGCGGTCATGACTGAGGAAATCTGCCTTCCAATGATGTCAACAGCAGAGATTGTTGGACAGTGGTTTTCATTCCAGGAGGCGATCAGACTTGCTTCACTCAAGGAAAATAAAGAAAAAACCTCCTGCTCTTAAATGGATATTCCTACTAAAAACTGCTAACACCCACCTTTTTACCAAAAATATGCACAATAATTAAATGTATTTGGTAGCGCTGATGACATTAATATCAAATAGCAATATATATTCAGTAAATGGCACACAAACCAAGTGAATAATTAAACCAAGTAAATGAGTGGAAAAACATACAAATGACTCCCCCTTTTAAATCCCCAACTGGGGGAAATATAGCAGTGAATATATCGGTGAATATAGTGGTTCCCTAGATAGGAACACAATGCACAGAACAGTGCTGGTGTAACCCCACTCAATCAAGCAATAGGTGATAGTAATACAGTTCATAAACAGTCCACTTCAAACAAACTGGTGGTAATAGCTCTGCACACGTGAAAGTGCCACTGGTGTAAAAAGTCTTGGTGATAACACTTAAGTGGTCTGAGTGCCCCCTCACCTCCTTGCAACGACCACAAGGGCCAGCTCACTTTTTGGATCAATCACGCTCTGCTCAGGAACCACCTCGTCTTAGGGAGACCACACTGGATACCACAGTAGAGCCACTATCATCCAGACCTCCTCCAACCACTGAATGCTCTGGTATTGCCGCTCACATCAACAGGGTCATATTCAGAAACAAAAGAGATCCTCCATAGTGTAACTCAATACTTTATTGCTATAAAAAAAACTAAAATGCCCACTCACATGGTAGCAGAATTTAACAAGCCTTTATCCTCATATTATGGGTGTACATGAAGTTCCAATATGGCGTTCGCGCCGGAAGTGACGTCACCGTGCACCAGTGTGGTCTCTCTAAGACAGCTACATCCCCAGTTATAAGAAGGTGTTCACACTTATGCAATCACGTTATTTTAGTTGTACAGTTACAAGTGGAAAAAGTTCTGAAATGATTTATCTTTGTCTCATTTTTTTTACATCACAGAAACCTGACATTTTATTAGGGGTATGCAGACATTTTATATCCACTGTAATTGGTTGCAGTGCTGGACCTTAAAAATTAACCAGAGCCTTTAAGAGTGTCTCCCTGGTCTCTTCTAACACAACCTTAGGGTCTTCAATGTTCTCCATGTCTAACTCTTCAAAAGCATGTAGTTTTGCTTAAAACTCAGATAGAGAAGGCGGGGGGTGGAATAAACGCCTGAAGATTTTGGGCTCTGGACAGGGATGGCTATATTAAAGCTGTTCATTGTTTAAGAGATTTTGACAGATGCAGAAAAATCTGCCCTGGTCAGGTAGTCTGCTTGTTGTGTGTTTGAGATAATGTTAGACATAGGTGCAGAGACTGGTGTTAAAACAGAGTCCTGCTCTGGTCCAAGGAAAGCAATTTCACTCTGAGCAGTTTGACTGTTTTGCAAACCACTGACAGAGCAAATGCTCACCTGAATTTTTGCTGCAGCTCCCTTGTGACACATTTCTATCAGTATCAGTGCAGATATTTCCCTGTGGGATACTCACAGAGTAGGGTACAGAAATGGAGTGTGTCTGTAGTAAAATACACAGCAACCCAGGTGTCGACCGTCCTGTCTTCATGGTATCCTTAATATAACTTTTGGGTCTCAGGGAACCCCCTGCTAAAAATTTTCTTTGGGAAGAATTACCCCTTACAGATATAGAAAAAGATCAATAGTGTCAGTGGGGTCTTATCTGAAAGGAAGAAAATGCTCATTGCTCAAGAAACCTAAGCAATCTCTAGAGGAACCCTGGTTTCAGAAACCCTGCTATAAAAGCTCTGTGTGGAAGTGGTGGTAATATAGTGCAATCTGTGCTGTGTAACAACACTAAACTCTAAATGGTGCAATTTTTACTGCCAATTTTGAAAGTGTTTAAACTAAACACTCCATAGTGAATAAAGTCAAACACATTTAGTTTCCTCATACCGTGAGTAGACACTAACAAGTGTATTGTAAGTAGTGGAGACATTAATTCTCATACTTGCTATAAGGCTACACTGTTGGTCCGATAACAGGAAGAACCTGCCCTTCATTGATGTTTCCTGTATGGATCAAGGCCTCACCCATCATGGTGGGCATACCCCAGAGGGGTCTTCAGGGTCTGGGAGCCAAGAAGAAATGAATCACGGTTCTGAAACTGTATTGCACCCTGCAACTAACTACATGTGTAGCACTCAGTACCAAAGTGGACCCCTAAGATGTCCTAAGGCCATCCCCACAGTGTGGAGTATGTGTACAGTTCCCAATGTATTACCAAGGTTACACCAGTCTAGATGCACTGCTTCTATTGTTATATTATAAGGTAGTGAAGAGTTTACTGAAGAATTTAAATTAAATAAGAACTAGTTAAGCATATAAATGTCTCCATAATGGAGAAGAGGTCTATCACTTAAGGACACCAGCAAACATGGCGAGGGCTCACCAAGTGGGGTAGGGTTATAGGGTTGTACACGGGGGTGTTATCCACAAGCTTTGCCAGTGTCCAATCAGCTGAAAGTTAGCAGTTTATAACCCAAAGTCTATGAATATCAAGCTTGTGTCCTGTACTATAGGTTTGAGACCGGATTATAGGTGGTCTCGATCTTAGCGGTTTATAAAACTATAAAGGAGATGTAGAGAGATCGCACAGTCAGATCTTAAAACTGCGACAAGTTTTAAACTGTTTCCTGGCTAGCTGGCAAACACAAATAACAATCTGATTAGACATTCTTTGTAATTACACATTACATTTCTTAACAACTATGTAGGATTAGTAACCCATGTGGCCACCTTAAAACCGTTTAATGCATAAAATATGCATTCTCTATCCTTCTGTAGGAGTGTAAAATGTTCAACCAGCAAGGGTTTTCAGAATGCTAAAAGACAACCTTATAAACTGACACTTCTACTCTTACAGGGAGAGAATACAAGCAAAAAAAAAAAAAAGTGTAACCTCCAAGAGGTAAGGCTGCATTATTATAACAATAAACTTTCATTATTAATAACGCCCGATGATGATTGGTTACATTTTCTTTAAAGGATATAAGGGTTGTAGAAGGATTGAGAAACAAAAGCAAAAAAAAAAGAAGAAATAAAATGATCATCATATGGAAAAATGTGCTGCACCTGAGAGATATGAGATACACATACAATGCCTTGTAAAGTAAACATGGTCCAGATAACACCAAAAAAACTTACATCTTCCATTGCAGATTCGCTTGTTTCTAAAGTTGATTTTCTGTTCAGACATTCAAGCAGATAATCCAGAACAGACTGTCTCGGGTGCATTCCCTTGTCGAAACGGTTGTACATTCCACACCAGAACCTCCATAAATAGATTTAACATAGCTTTAATTTAATAGGTAGATCTAACTAAAACGACATATCTGTGTTTCAAGCATCTTAAAAGTAAATATTCTAAATATGACTCATAAGGGATAAATCACTTCCACATATTTTTATTTCAGAAACAGCCAACCAATTAAAGACCAATGATGAAAAAAATAGATTTTTTTCTACATACTTACCTGTAAAATCCATTTCTTGGAGTACATTACGGGACACAGAGCAGGCCATAATAATGACTGTGTGGTTATATGCCACTTATAGATGAATGGACGTCCCAAAGCAATAACCTTGATTGGTGGGTTACATCACAATAACCACCGTCAACATAGTCAATAACCCTGTTCAGCTGTTTGTAAAACACTGCAGCTAAAGGCAGAATCCTCCGTAGTTCTGAAATCCACCTGGTAAAACCTTGTGAATGTATGAACCGAAGACCATGTAGCGCCTTGCACACCTGAGCAACAGACGCCTGGTGGTGGATAGCCCAAGATGCCCCCACACTCCTGGTAGAGTGTGCTTTCATCCGAAAGGGTGGAACCTTGCTCTTCAAACCATAGGCTTGAATGATTAAACAGACAAATCCACTTAGTAATAGTTTGGATGCTGCCTGTCCTCTCCTGGGTCCTTACGACAAAATAAACAAGGAATCGTCCTTTCTAATCTGCGCCGCCATTCCCAAAAAGACCCTTATTGCCGAACCACATCCAGGACATACAAGAACGGTGTGAACCTCCTGCGCTACTGAAAAAATAATATGAACTAACAGGGATGGTGTGAACCTCCCACACTACTAAACCCCCAAAAAATTATATTCAATCAACTTAAGAGAGAAGCCGCCAACACTACATCAAATACCCATGATCAACAGAGATAAAAATCAAAAAATGTGGCGCTACTCATAAAACTTAAAAAATACTAATCAAAAAAATTATTTTAAAATATATATAACAAATACAATACACCTCGTGAAATAAATATATATATAATAATCAAGTGGTCATAGTGATCAGAAAATATATATTAAACTAATATCATAAAAAACATAGTGTATAAATACTGTGTATTAACAATCTTTGTGACAATTTCTAGCACATGAAAGCAATAAACAATTATAATAATTAAACTGTGATCAATCATGCAAAGAAAGTACAAAAAATGTCACACTAAAAACACAAACGAAAAAAAAAAATAAAAAATGTGTAGACAAATGTCCAATGGGTGGGTGACACCACTACTGCAATTGCAAGCACACGTGATCATAAAGTGACTCCAGGTGCAGAAACTCCAACACACGGCTAGATTAGCCTCTCACCTCCAGGCTTCGACCCGTGAAGGTCAAAGCGTATAGTGGGATCAAACCCTCAAATCCTCTCAGCATCTACTGATATCCACTGATCCACTTTCCCCATCCATAGATATCCTTCTCTAGGGGTCAATAATCAAGCAGTGGCTCCTCTTATGGGATATGGGTATGTGCCAAAAAAATATAAAACACAATCTCCCATAGTGTAGCAGGTAAATTTAATGGAAAACAAACCATAGACATATGGAGACAACTCACATCCGTCCTCAAAGATGACAGCTTTACAACCCTATGCTTTTGGGTGTAATCTGCATGGGTGTACAGGAATCAAAAAAGGTGCACCAAGATGGCCACCACGCCGGAAGTGCGTCACCACGTCAGGCCGATGCCTTGCGTCACAATATCATGTGACTTCCTGAGCCCTGAGGAAGTCACATGATATTGTGACGCAACGCGTCGGCCTGACGTGGTGACGCACTTCCAGCGTGGTGGCCATCTATGTGCACCTTTTTTGATTCCTGTACACCCATGCAGATTACACCCAAAAGCATAGGGTTGTAAAGCTGTCATCTTTGAGGACGGATGTGAGTTGTCTCCATATGTCTATGGTTTGTTTTCCATTAAATTTACCTGCTACACTATGGGGAGATTGTGTTTATTTTTTTGGCACATACCCATATCCCATAAGAGGAGCCACTGCTTGATTATTGACCCCTAGAGAAGGATATCTATGGATGGGGAAAGTGGATCAGTGGATATCAGTAGATGCTGAGAGGATTTGAGGGTTTGATCCCACTATACGCTTTGACCTTCACGGGTCGAAGCCTGGAGGTGAGAGGCTAATCTAGCCGTGTGTTGGAGTTTCTGCACCTGGAGTCACTTTATGATCACGTGTGCTTGCAATTGCAGTAGTGGTGTCACCCACCCATTGGACATTTGTCTACACATTTTTTTTTTTTTTTTTCGTTTGTGTTTTTAGTGTGACATTTTTTGCACTTTATTTGCATGATTGATCACAGTTTAATTATTATAATTGTTTATTGCTTTCATGTGCTAGAAATTGTCACAAAGATTGTTAATACACAGTATTTATACACTATGTTTTTTATGATATTAGTTTAATATATATATTTTCTGATCACTATGACCACTTGATTATTATATATATATTTATTTCACGAGGTGTATTGTATTTGTTATATATATTTTAAAATAATTTTTTGATTAGTATTTTTTAAGTTTTATGAGTAGCGCCACATTTTTTGATTTTTACATCCAGGACATGCAAAGATTATTTCTTTTGCTGACCGAGGCCTAGGAAAGAATGAAGGCAGAACAATGTCCTGATTGAGATGAAAACTAGAAACCACCTTTGGCAAAAAACGGACAGATGAGGCCGTATCACCACCTTATCCTGCTGTAAAACAAAAAATGGTTCCCTACAAAAAAAGAGCTGCCAACACAGATACCCTTCTTGCAGAGGCCACCAAAAAGAGAGAACCTTTCTACTTAGCAGAACTAAGCAATCTCCCTGATAGGTTCAAATGGCGCTTTCTGTAAAACTGCCAAGACCAAGTTCAAGTCCCAAGGACACAGGGGCTGTCTGAAAAGAGAAACAGTACGCATCACTCCCTGTAAAAAAGTATGAACCAATGATTGAGAAGCAAATCAGTCTTTGGAAGAAAACAGCCAAGGCTGAAACCTGACTCTTAATAGTACCAACAGCCAACTTGAAGAAAAGACAAAATTCTCCCAATCAAATATTTCCGTGGGTGCCAATTTCGACCCTCCCACCAAGAAATATATGCCTTTCAAGTTCTATAATAAATGTTCCCAGAAACCAGCTTCCTAGCATTCAACATTGTGTAGATAAACGAGTCTGACCCTACCTAACTTTCAAGATATTGGTCTCAACAGTCATGCTGTCCAACTCAGCGACCATAAAGCTGGGTGCAATAAAGGTCCCTGAGACAGCAGGTATGACTGATCTGGCAGAAGTCATGGATCGCCCACTGTGAGCCTGACAGAGATCTACCTCCTCCTTGAGCCCTCCGGCTCTTGGTACCATCTTGGTGGTTGATGTATGCCACTGCTGTAGCATTGTCGGACTGGACCCTGACTGGACAAAAATGAAGCCTGGTCATCCAATATTTCAGGGTAAGCTGCACCGCCCGAAGCTCTAGGATATTGATGGGAAGAATCTTTTCCTACGGTGACCATGTCACATGGACTGTGGTCCCTTCTAGAACAGCCCCCCAACTCGAGAGGCTGGCATCAGTTACCAGCTTCCAAATCACTGGTGGGAAAGATCTTCCCTTTTCCCAAATTCCGAGCTTCCAACCACCAGTTCAAGCTTTGCTGCACCCAGGGGGACAAAGACACGCGGTAATCCAGGGTTGGAATCTTTTTGTTCCATGCCGACAGAATATTCCTCTGCAAAGGACTTGAGCGGGACTGCGCATAGGGCACTGTCTCGAATGAGGATACCATCTTACCCATTAACCTCATGCAGAGATGAATGGAAGGGTACTTTCTGCTCCTCAAACTCGAACCTGATCTCTCAAGGCGCAGCCCTTTCCTGGAGGCAGAAACACCTTTGCCTTAACAGTGTCTAGGACCAATCCCAAATACTCCAGACTCTGTACTGGCTCCAGGGCCGACTTCTCAAAGTTGAGCACCCAGCCCAAATGTTCCAGAGTATGAATCTCAAGGGCTACATTTTTTCTCAGGCTTGGACCAGACTGACCCCTGAGGATTAGATCATCCAGATAGGCCAAAATCGATATTCCTCCAGTTCTGAGCAGTCCCAGAACTGGAGCCAGAATCTTTGTAAACACTCGAAGAGCCGTGGCTAGCCCAAAAGGTAGTGCCACGAACTGCAAATGTCGAGTTTCTATCACAAACTGCAAAAACCTTTGGTAAGCTGGAAATATTGTCTATGGACACTAGAAATTCTCCCTCTTGTAAAGATACAACTACTGACCAGACTGACACCATCCAAAATGAACGAATCTTTAGGAACCGGTTCAGCCCCTTTCGGCTTTGGAACTGTGAATAGGTTTGAATAAAATCCCTGGAACCTTTTGCCCACTGGGGTCTCCACAATCACGCCCTGGGACAACAGCCAGTGGAGTGCCTGAAATAAAGATTTTCTTCTCAATGGATCCGTGGATACATTGGACCTTAAGAAATGGGGAAGATGAATTCCCTAACACTTCTGTTTGTACCCCTGAGCAACTGTAGCAGTGACCCACTTGTCCTGGATCAGCTCTTCCCAGATCTCCACACGGCCCCCCTTCATAATGAAGCAAACTTAGAATCTGACCTGGCGGGCTTCTGAAGCCAGGGTTTCTTCTGGCCCTGAAATTTTCCCCTAGAAGCAGAGCCCTGTGTACAACAAAATGCTTGCCTAACGAAGAAGCACCAACCACCAAAAGTGACTGGCCCCTTAAAGGTTGGGCGTTTGGACTTTCTCTTACAGGGTAATATACTTTTTCCCCTGAGATCTTCTGGATATACTTGTCTAGGTCGTCCCAAAACAAAACGTTCTACATGAAAAGGAAAACCCACCAACAATCTTTTGCATGGTAGTCCCGCCACCCAACTCTTTAAACACAAAACCCTTCTCATGTGTACTGACAGAAGGACCATGCGACAGATCTGCTGAATTGAACCCTTAAGGGCATCAACTACAAAACCTGTGGTAAAAGTGCCAAATCCACAGCCGTATCCTCCTCCAAAAGAGATGGTCATTCAGACTTGTCATTCAGGTTGTGCGGCAACCCCTGCCAGGGAAAAAGAAGCCTTGAGGAGCGATTCTAATTTTTTATTAGTCGGATGCTCAAACACCTTGGCATTATCCACAGGGCAAGTTAAATGCTTATTCAGGGAAGACACGACTGTGTCCACCCCTGGCATGCCCCACTTTCTAACAAACTTTCAAACAATCCATAGGATACTTTTATGTAGAACAAAAACTCTGGGTGCTCCCAGTTACGCATAAATAACCTGCTCCAAAAGAGGGTGCACCAGAAACACCTGAATACTTTGGGGTGGCTTTAATGAGCCCAAAGAGGAATAAGAGACCTCAGATGCCTCTATTGGGAGTAACTTGAAACCTGTTTGGACCATATCAGTGAGGGTCTTAACTAATAACCTCTGATTGAGAAGCACAAGCTCCCTTGCTTCTCATCAGGCTGTGACTACTCTGACAAAGAATCAATTGACTGACCCTCTTCAATATTCTCTACCACATCTTCATCCTCAGGTTCCACCCAATCTAGTTCAAGGACTGGTGGTTCCAAAGACGGGGATCTTTCCCACTTCTTACCCCCTTGAGCCACCGATGCAACCATCCCAGCAATCTTACCTTCTAACCCTGCTAGGGCTGATGCAAGATCCTCCTTAGTTACGCACCAATGCTGGACAAACGCAGCGACTCAGATTGACCTGTTGTCCTGGTCTCTCAGGAGAAGATACCACAACAGATAATCGACTAGGAGGCTCCACAGGACCTGACGGTGGTGCATTTGCACCCCTTCCTGCAGTGCTTCCCCCACCCCGCTTTCTGGATGACATTACCTCCACTAGAGTTACAAGAACTGTGTAACAATTTAATCAAAACACAGCATTCACAATAGACCTGCTTAAAGTGAAGCAACACACTCTCATACAGTCCACTGAAAAAAAAGGGGGTAGCATGTACACAACCCTCCTGCCTGACTGTCTGACCCTCCCAGGGAAATACTCTCGTGCCCTTAGAATAACCTGCCCAGTGTCCTGGCCATACCCCCAGGGCCCAGCAGCTGTAGATCTATTAGTCAGGGACCAACCTTCACCTTTTACGGCGGGCCACTTCCTTGGACCCATATAGCACCCTGCCAGAAGTGCCTTGGTCAGATCAAACTGCACAAGGTTCCAAAAACACGGGGTCCAGCACTGTAAAGCAGCATTACAGGCAAAACCCCGAGGATTCTTCTCCTTATCCAGCGTGGCATGGGTACCATCCATTTTAGCTAATAGCTTTTCCAATGGATCTGATTGAGGCCCTTGACTCTCAGTAGAATCGTTCCAGACCTCCCAGTATGCTCCCAGAGCACATGTAGCATTTGTTTAGTGAACATCCACCTTACAGACACTGGCGAAAAAACTGAGTACTCCCTGTTTGGAGGGGTTATATGGGGGGGAGGACTTTCTATTTGATTGGTTGGTCAGTATCCATTCACCTATAGGTGGCATATAACCCACATAGTCAATATTATAGCCTTCTCTGTGTCTTGTGATGTACGATAAAGAAATATACACAGATTTAGTCTGCATTATACAGTGCCTTAAAAAAATATTCATACCCCTTGAAATTTTCCACATTTTGTTATGTTACAACCAAAAAAATGGTTTTCCTAATTTTTATACAAATAAAGATCTGAAAAGTGTGGCGTGCATTTGTACTCAAGCCCCCCTGAGTCAATACTTTGTAGATCCGCCTTTTGCTGTAATTATAGTTGCAAGTCTTTTTGGGGATGTCTCACCAGCTTTGCACATCTAGAGCGTGAAATGTTTGCCCATTCTTTGCAAAATAGCTCAAGCTCTGTCAGACTGGATGGAGAGTGTCCGTGAACAGCAGTTTTCAAGTCTTGCCACCGATTCTCAATTGGATTTAGGTCTGGAATTTGACAGGACTATTCTAACATATCAATATGCCAAAGAGTTGAGTGAGACAGAAGAGAGAGACTCAGCTCTTTTGCACATCACTTAATCAGGATCAAGTTAAGAAAGTGGCAATATTCAAAAGTTTAAACATTTTGGTGGACCATAAACACCTGCTAGTCCACACTCCTCCTCAAGACCACCTGTATACCTATTTTGTTGGAACATTATTGCTAATTTATTGATATTCATCAATCAACAATTATAGTAAAGTCTTTTCTATTTGCAAGGCAGATTTGAAGATACAGTATATATCTATTTCTCAGCAGCCTATTTATTGCCATGCTGTTATGCCAATATGGATATGTATTATGATTGCCGAGTCAACCTTTGAATAATATCTATATGTCCGGGGGACATGATGGGTGATTTCGGTGTGTTTTCTTAATTCACCAGGTACTGTTTGCCATGTGTTTTCACAAAAACATTTTAGATAAATGTTGTTAAAGGTTTTGTAAAGACATCTGTCAGGGAGTAGCTGATTTTATTTTGTTCACCCTCCTGTTTCTGAATTACCTTATATTATAGGTAAGGAGTGGTCAGAGCTATAAATCCATTTTTATGGCATTTTTTGATTCTTAGGTTTTTGTGGCTAGCTCCCTCTCCATAGATATTTAACATATATTTGTGTATACATTTTCTCCTGTCTCTAACCTGGTCGGATACTTTAACTACAGAGTATAGGAGGGGCCAGATACAACCCGAGGTGTGCTGGATGCTAAACAACATCCTTTGGAAACCTTTTCTCTTCAATAGAGTGGTCAGCAGTCCATGTGAGTACTAACTCTATACCTTGCAGAGATCTACAAAATCAGCGTGCTGCTACACTGCTGGCTTTTAACAATGAAACAATAAACAGATGAAAAGGATTTCAGGGGAAATAACTTACTTGAAGAAGAATGGAAGTGTGCTTGGCTGGAGTGTTTTATATGCAATCGGGATATACACGGATTCACAAAGTCCTGCTTCCGTTGCAGTAGAAATGGCCACAGTGAATGGGTATTTTCATAAATTCTGTTGAGAGTAGACTGAAGAAGTTAATGTCCACGAACATATAAAACCTTTTTTTTTTGTAGTGTAGGAAATGTGTCATGTTATAACATATCATTTAAGTGATTCTGATTTTGTTTGCGGTCTCCATTTTAGAAGTGTTTTATAACCATTTAAACCACAGAATTAAATGACAAAGAGATGGAAAAAATGGATAAAATGGAATTCTGGCTGTTAACTAACTGCCTCCTGACTCATAGCAGATGTACTGCTACAGGGCAGCTTCGCTGGGTAAAATCACGTAACACTATACGTGATTTTGCATTTCCGGGTAGGGGGTGCTGCTATTGGTTCCTGAGGATGTCAATCATGGGGTTCCGGCCAGCGATTTTCGTCCAGGACTCTCTGCACAGCAGAGAGATAGAAAGCAGCTGGTCTGCTTAGTAAAACACAACACAGTACACAATAAAAAACACTCCGTAACACACAGTTAATCCTTTGATCGCCCCAGATGTTAACTCCTTCCTGCCCAATGTCATTAATACAGTGTCAGTGCTTTTTATTAACACTGATCACTGCTATTAGTGTCACTGGAGATGTCAGTGGCAGTTAGTTCCCACCCAATGTCAGAATGCCCACCTCAGTTCCGCTATAAGATGCTGATCACCGCCCATTACTAGTATAAATAAGAATTCCAGTATAAATACTGCTATTTGCTATACCTTCACGCAAACCAATTAATATACACTTATTGGGATTTTTTTTTTTCAGTAAAGTCATGTAGCAGAATACATTTGGCCTAAATTTATGATGAAATTTTATTTTTTTTATTGGAAATGTTTTGTAGCAAAAAGTTAAAAATATTGTTATTTTCTTTAAAAATCATCAGTCTCTTTTTGCTTATAGCGCAAAAATTAAAAATGCAGAGGTGATCAAATAGCACCAAAAGTAAGCTTTATTTGTGGGGAAAAAAAAAAATGGCAAATTTTATTTATGTACAGAGCTGCATGCCCGCACAATTGTCAGTTAAAGTAACACAGCAATAAAATAGGTGTCGTAATGTTGGCAATAACCGCTGTGTACTATCCAGACCACTTTGCTGGGTTCCGTATGGATGAATGATTTCCCTTGAAGAAGCCATGTGCTCTGTGACTACGTCTATATTGAACCTGGCAAAGTGGTCTGGATAGGACACCTCGGTAATTGCCAACACTGCAACACCTATTTTATTGGCTGTACACCTCGATGCGGGCTGGCACCTCATACACGTGAGTGCAATATATATGTTGTTTAAGGTAAATAAAGTATTAAGGATAAGGCACTATTTGCAATATTCTTTGCATATCATGGACTGGAGCTTGGTGAAGGAGGAGATATGCGTGTAATATTGGATTCCTAACTGGAGAAGACGAACCGATCCTGGTCCCCCTTGGTGGAAGGTCATATTTTCAAGGTGAGAGTTCACCTGGTGACAATTGGGCACTGAAATTAATGTTGAATTTTGTTACACAGAGGTGAAGTCTTTCTGAAGCACGGCTGGCTTTCGACTTATAATCAGACTTTTATTTGCATGTTGTGGTTTGAGTTTGGGACATTTAGTCACTTGCATCTGTATTTATATATAGGAATTGATTTATATGCATAGTAGTGCGTCATGTCATTATCAGAGAAGTTATATTTTGTGTGTGTCTTAATTTTTGTAGGGTTTAGTATCACCTGTACACTTATTTTTATTATTGTGCAACTAGTGCAGCACTATTTTTTATATAGAACCACAGTATAAATATCAGAAATCATAATGCATGAGTGCAAGAGACCTTAAAGTTCTTTTCTTTACAAAGCAGGAACATTGAATTGAAAAGCCTGTCCCCTGCCAGCATGCTGCAGAGAAGGACCCTTACTCTCTGTATGAAAGCAGTGGTTCCTCTGCAGAGGTCTGGCACACCCCCTGTGCAGCCCTCAGCTTGGACGATGAAGGAACGGCAACACATGGATGAGGTTTCTGTGTGTTTACGCTTCCTGTAAGCATGTTCACAATGTGCAACTTACAGGACTGTGCAATGCATGCCCAATCTGGTTGACATTGCTTTCCCTCCAGAACTCTGCAGTGCATTAGGATTAGAGAAAGCGGCTAGTAAGACAGATTTAAGGTATTTAAAGGAGCAGGGCCCTCCTATCCCTCTTGTATTGAACCGTATTGTTGTTGTATTATCTCCCGTTATATTGTAAAGCACTGAGCAAACTGTTGGCGCTATATAAATCTTGTATAATAATAATAATAATTTATATGCTAGCAGTATAAAATTATATTAACTATATATATATATAAAACTAAATTAGGTGGTGTGTTTTCAGCTTTAAAGTAAATCAGGGAGTCAGCATACAAATAAATAACTCACTTAAGTTCCATGCGTTCCTTCTGAGAATTCCCAAGAAAGTTTCCAAATTGACAGGAGTAGACATGATCATGAATTTCTAGTAAATATTTCTCACTGAATTCAAAGGCACAAGGGAACTGTTCCATTAGGTGCCACACACACTCCACAAACTGTGTGAATATCGGTGACACTTCTTTAGGTTCAACATCTAAATGGCCACATCTGCAAAAGATAAAAATGATGAACATTACCACATTCTAAAACAGGGACACACACAAAGATTAAGTAAAATATTGTTATTCAAAATTTAAAGGAAACCTTTCCTGACAGAAACACGGAGACTGTAATTTCTACTTCCCACTCTGCTAATGATAGTTGCCTGGCTGCTACTAATGCTCTGGCTTCAATAAAATGGGAATGATTTACTAAAACTGGTGCACATACACACTTGTGCAGCTTTGCATACTTAATAATAAGGATTACAAATAGTTAAAATAGTGAGGTTGATTGAGTGTACTTCCACAGTAAATAAAACACATTTGTATACACAGATTAGGGTGATAAGGGTATTGTCTTCTATAGGGATTTAGCTTTGAAGGACAGCCTTGAGCAGAAAACCAATGGTGGTGTTAAAGTTACAGTATTGGCTGTCTTAACATCTAAAATGTTTTAATGATTGACTGCAAAGTGCATTTGGTGATGTCCACTGTAAGCACAGCTGGATATTGTGTTAATGCTACAAACACATAAGTACAGTAACTCCCCAACCACTAATACAACTACACAAACAAAGCTAATGAAGACAAAAAAGATCATATATGTTAGTAAAACCCTTTGATAAAGTCAGGTGACGAACCATGTGTCAGGGTCGGGCCACACGACGTACTCTGGAATGAGACATCCACCTTACATCCCCCACCGGAAGTGACGTATCACTCGCGAGCAGTGAGGAGGATCGGGTGAGACGCTCGCTCCATGTGATATGCAGATACCCTTAACGGGTATTGTGGATATATTGGAATGCTTTCATTTATTTTAAGTGAATGCAATACTTTCTATCCAATAAATGGTTTTTAATGGATTCACGCTATGAGTTTTCTTTCACATCTTTCCCTGATTACGGAGTGTAATAGTTTAGGAGGATGTCCTGCCATCATATCAGTCTCTAATTGATGAAGGGCTTGTTGATTGATGATCTATACTATGCTGACATTCTCCACAAGTGCTATTGCCTATTAGGTTTGGATAGGCCATGATATCTGGTGAGTGCCACTGAATTGTGGGAGGTTTTCCTCTGGAGCACGTGGTGATATAGAGTGTAAGCTCCAAGGAGCAGGGCCCTAATAACCCTCTTGTATTGAACTGTATTGTTGCTGTATTGTCTCCTGTTATATTGTAAAGCGCTGAGCAAACTGTTGGCGCTATATAAATCCTGTATAATAATAATAATATCTGAGTGCACTTTATTCAATCAGTTATTGTTATGTTGTTCACGTGGTGATCTCGGTGGATCAATAAGGACTTTGCAATTCATCACAATTTTCATTTTTCAGTTGGTGGACTTATAAATATTTGTGTATATCGTATCATATTCCCACTTTGCTATTGTGTTTCACATTTTTTTTTGCGCTGCTTTTATTTGTCATTATATCATGAGGTTATTACTGGCTTATTCACTATTAGGGCAGCTGCATGTTTACACATTTTATGTACTCATGTATTTATTTATTTAGGTGAGTGATATATTGTGCACTTTTTAAGGTGTCAGATCTTAAATATTTTCACATCACACTTGCGCGGTGAATACATACGGTTTTATATACTGATTTTGAATGTTAGTAATTGTTATAGTAGTATTTTGGTTTTTAAAGGAATAACCAGGATTCAAAGGATCAGTACGACAGCCAGGCAAGTATCATTTTCAAAAGGAGAGCGCTATTATGCAAGCTGCCATTGTTTTGCTTATTTCAGGTTTAATTAACCCAATTTAATAAGTTTAACTACCTTTCATTCACCCAAGGCATGACCACACATTCAGACACAGTGATGCTGTATGCAAACTGATGGTTGAATGCCTGGATCCAATCTGATATTTCTACTGTTAAAATGCATTTTCTATGACTGGTGTAGTCAATATTATTAGACTTTAAAAAACATCAGGTGTATGTGTCCCCTTTTAGAATGAAAATATCATTACCTACCTTTGAGAAAATTTATGTCCCAGGGATATCCATTCCTTTTCAACGAGTACCTTTCAATAAAAAATAACATAATAAAGTATCTTCAGTTAGTTATAATAAACAGTATGAAGCTGTATTTAAACTACACCTTAATTATATTTAGATATATACCTAAAAGTAATAGGACAATAGCCCAAACATTTAATACAGGGTGCACCAGACAGGTTTTGCAACGCATTACTGGTTTATGAGAGAGACCATACATGTAGTTTTCTTTCCTTTCATGTCATATTTCTTCAGTTGAAACTCTCGATGAGGAACCATATAGCAGAGAAAAAGAGGAAAAACAGCCCACTGACTAATTTAACGATTTGTGTAATCTGAGATTTCTGATTCAGGACCCTAACAGGCTTTATTCATAATGCATTTAGGACTGGCAGGTAAATGTGTAAAGACAAACCTAGGGAACCACCTGCTGTCTACAATATATAAATGTGATGCTCATATGCAACACTGCATTTTTAGAGTCAGGGAAAAATATGAAAAATGGTCATTTTGACTTGCCTGTAAATTCCATATCTTGGAATACAGTACCGGGCACATAATGCATAGTCATAGACCATGGGGTATATATGCTGCTGGTTTCACATTATTGGACACTGGCAAAAGCATCACTGGGAATGGCCCCCCGTGCACCCTCATATAAACCCCCCCCCCCCCCCACTCCGTGGGACTGAAGTTTTGTAGCAAGCATTAAAGAGAAACAGAGGACAGAGGAGGGGGACCCATGTCCTGTACTGTACACTCCAATATGTGGAATTTACTGGTAAATCTAAATATTCATTACCTGAATTGTATAGTACAGGATATGGGATGTGTAGTCATAAACCATGGGATGTCCTCAAGCAATAAACTTAGGGGTGGGCAATAGCAAACAGGGTCAACGGACCTGAAACTCTTAGATGACAGCATTAGGCACCTCACAGGTGAAGCTTGAACCAGAAAAGGGCAGGAGATCCAGCCATTAAAATTCTGAGAAGATATAAACAGTTCCTCTGTGCTTTGTGTCCACCATTGCTAAGTGAGGGTATCACCTGTGGGGTACTCACAAAATGGATGTGGAATTTGCATGTTTAGGAAGGGAGCCCCTATAACCCAGGCTCTGACTAATGTCCTATGTCTATGGGGTTGATTTACTAAAAGCAAATAGACTGTGCACTGTACAAGTGCAGCTGAAGTCATTTTCTCCAGAGCTTAGCGATTTTGGTAAAACTTCACTTTGCAAATAATACCCAATCAAGTGCAAGCAACTGCACTTGCAAAGTGCACACTCTATTTGCCTTTAGTAAATCGACTGCTACGTCTCTGGAAAAGCAGGTAGCAAACGTGCGTCCACCAGAAGCCAATTGCAACTATGTCGCTGTCCAAGCAGAAATGTTGTGTGTGAAAATCTGCAAATTCAAGGTGGCAAATGTTACCTGGAACCAATGTAACAGATGTTTACAGAAGGGAACAACACACAAGGGGAAATAACACCCCACATGTAAAATATGACACAGTCACAATTACAGAAGAACCCTGTTGTGCCTTATCCATGGTGCAGGTATTTGGAGGGGACCAAACTTCACCTTTCACAGTGGGCTTACTCCAGAAGGGGTTAGGGTGTGTGTGCCAAAATGGACCATGGCCCTGATCCTGAATAGCATTTTATAGCTAACTACATTTGTGTCAAGGTGAGTGCCTAATGCAGGATCTATTGCCCAAAGCAAACATTACATGTGGGCCCCACTAATGCAGGGTACAGGTACGGTTCCCAAGATATAAAAGGCAACCGATTCAGAAATTTCTATTGAACCAATGAAGGAAAGTAAAAACTGGTTTAGAAGACTTCTCCAGAGGAAAAGAGGTCCATCACCTAAACACACTAGCAAAAAACTTAAGTCCCACACAATGGGTGGGGTTATATGAAGGCAATATGAAGACAACATAGCTTTTGTCCTGTACTGTAGGATTAAGATAATTTTTTGGTAACAAACAAAAAATTACTGTACATGCAAATTACATCAAAGCAGAACTGGATCAACAGATTCTCTAGATTAGGCGATTGGCCATAATAACATCATTTGGTGGCCTATGGCATATGCAGGTTAAAGTCGAACTTCACTCTCTCAATCAACAAGGACTATTTTTAATCCTTATGCTGATAGCATTAGTAAATAGATAGGAAAGTACCGTATTTTTCGCTCCATAAGACGCACTTTTTCCCCCAAAAAAAGGGGGGAAAATGTCTTTGCGTCTTATGGAGCGAATGTAAAGCGGCCGGTCCGGTATTTCTGCCGCCACCATGTCAGAATATCGGGCCGGCCGCTCAGCTCTTCGCTCCTGCAGGTCCTTACCTGTTCCTCACTCCAGCGCTGCAGACTTCCCGCGGCGGCTTCTGTGACAGCCGGGTGCCCACTGCGCATGCGCGAGAAGCGCTGCGTTTTGTGAATGGTCCAGTGTCTTCTGGGACACATGACAGGTCCCAGAAGGCTCCGAGCCATTCACAAAGTGCAGCGCTTCTCGCGCATGCGCAGTGGGCACCCGGCTGTCACAGAAGCCACCGCGGGAAGAAGGAAGGAAGGACAACTCCGCAGAAGTGGAAGCGGGTACCTGTCAAATTCAGGTACCCGTTCCCCCTCCCTCCCCAAAGGTCCGCAGTCTCTGGTAATCTCCTTTACTGTCTGCAGTCTCTGGTCATCTCCTTTACTGTCTGCAGTCTCTGGTCATCTCCTTTACTGTCTGCAGTCTCTGGTCATTCCCTGCACTGTCTGCAGTCTCTGGTCATCCCCTGCACTATCTGCAGTCTCTGGTCATCTCCTGTACAGTGTCCGCAGTCTCTGGTCATCTCCTGTACTGTGTCCGCAGTCTCTGGTCATCTCCTGTACTGTGTCCGCAGTCTCTGGTCATCTCCTGTACTATGTCCGCAGTCTCTGGTCATCTCCTGTACTATGTCCGCAGTCTCTGGTCATCTCCTGTACTATGTCCGCAGTCTCTGGTCATCTCCTGTACTATGTCCGCAGTCTCTGGTCATCTCCTGTACTATGTCCGCAGTCTCTGGTCATCTCCTGTACTATGTCCGCAGTCTCTGGTCATCTCCTGTACTATGTCCGCAGTCTCTGGTCATCTCCTGTACTATGTCCGCAGTCTCTGGTCATCTCCTGTACTATGTCCGCAGTCTCTGGTCATCTCCTGTACTATGTCCGCAGTCTCTGGTCATCTCCTGTACTATGTCCGCAGTCTCTGGTCATCTCCTGTACTATGTCCGCAGTCTCTGGTCATCTCCTGTACTATGTCCGCAGTCTCTGGTCATCTCCTGTACTATGTCCGCAGTCTCTGGTCATCTCCTGTACTATGTCCGCAGTCTCTGGTCATCTCCTGTACTATGTCCGCAGTCTCTGGTCATCTCCTGTACTATGTCCGCAGTCTCTGGTCATCTCCTGTACTATGTCCGCAGTCTCTGGTCATCTCCTGTACTATGTCCGCAGTCTCTGGTCATCTCCTGTACTATGTCCGCAGTCTCTGGTCATCTCCTGTACTGTGTCCGCAGTCTCTGGTCATCTCCTGTACTGTGTCTGCAGTCTTTGGGCATCTCCTGTACTGTGTCCGCAGTCTCTGGCCATCTCCTGTACTGTGTCCGCAATCTCTGGCCATCTCCTGTACTGTGTCCGCAGTCTCTGGTCATTCCCTGTACTGTGTCCGCAGTCTCTGGCCATCTCCTGTACTGTGTCCGCAGTCTCTGGCCATCTCCTGTACTGTGTCCGCAGTCTCTGGCCATCTCCTGTACTGTGTCCGCAGTCTCTGGCCATCTCCTGTACTGTGTCCGCAATCTCTGGCCATCTCCTGTACTGTGTCCGCAGTCTCTGGTCATTCCTGTACTGTGTCCGCAGTCTCTGGCCATCTCCTGTACTGTGTCCGCAGTCTCTGGCCATCTCCTGTACTGTGTCCGCAGTCTCTGGCCATCTCCTGTACTGTGTCCGCAGTCTCTGGCCATCTCCTGTACTGTGTCCGCAGTCTCTGGCCATCTCCTGTACTGTGTCCGCAGTCTCTGGCCATCTCCTGTACTGTGTCCGCAATCTCTGGCCATCTCCTGTACTGTGTCCGCAGTCTCTGGTCATTCCCTGTACTGTGTCCGCAGTCTCTGGCCATCTCCTGTACTGTGTCCGCAGTCTCTGGCCATCTCCTGTACTGTGTCCGCAGTCTCTGGCCATCTCCTGTACTGTGTCCGCAGTCTCTGGCCATCTCCTGTACTGTGTCCGCAGTCTCTGGCCATCTCCTGTACTGTGTCCGCAGTCTTTGGGCATCTCCTGTACTGTGTCCGCAGTCTCTGGCCATCTCCTGTACTGTGTCCGCAATCTCTGGCCATCTCCTGTACTGTGTCCGCAGTCTCTGGTCATTCCCTGTACTGTGTCCGCAGTCTCTGGCCATCTCCTGTACTGTGTCCGCAGTCTCTGGCCATCTCCTGTACTGTGTCCGCAGTCTCTGGCCATCTCCTGTACTGTGTCCGCAGTCTCTGGCCATCTCCTGTACTGTGTCCGCAGTCTCTGGCCATCTCCTGTACTGTGTCCGCAGTCTCTGGCCATCTCCTGTACTGTGTCCGCAGTCTCTGGCCATCTCCTGTACTGTGTCCGCAGTCTCTGGCCATCTCCTGTACTGTGTCCGCAGTCTCTGGTCATCCCCTGTACTGTGTCTGCAGTCCATTGGTTCAGAATATTTTTCTTGTTTTTCTCCTCTAAAACCTAGGCCGTCTTATGGTCAGGTGCGTCTTATGGAGCGAAAAATACGATATATCATCATATTTACTTGTTTTAAACGTTTTTTTTGTTTTTTTTTCACATTTCTTTAGTTACTTCCTGGTTTCCATGCCTAGGCAAATGATGTCATACATCCCGGCAGTCTTCAGAGAGAGAGTGTTCTCAGGTCAGCCTAAGCTAAGGGCAGATGGATTCCAGGAAGCAAATGATACATGAATCATCTGCCCTTACTCAAGATGGCCACTGACAAATGCCAGGGGGGTGTTTTTCAAAATGAT